CTACAAAACCTTGTCCAATTTAAGGTCACTTAAGTCAAAATCTATAGCTGTCTGCAAAAAAAAAAAAAGAAACTCTTACAAAACCTCAGCACAACTCTTTGAGCGTCACATACCTGACACAAAAAAGGGAGAGAGCACGCTTGCCCCCATCCTATCACGAGAATCATTTAGCGAACATTGCTTTGAAGTTTCCTTACAGTAAAATGACCCGCCTGTACACATTGAAAACGTCGTCAAGTAACATCCTAAATTCCTGGCAATAACCTGAGTAATTAATAGCCTGAGTAATTAATAACCTGAGTAATTAATAACCTGAGTAATTAATAACCTGAGTAATTAAGCGAGTACAATTCTACTTCTATGGCCTGGCGAAAAATCCCCTAAACCAACTACAGACCGATCGCACAAGAGCAAAATGTTTGGTGGATTACGAAAGAAAATAATGAAATCGCCATTGACGTAAAACTCATTTCAACTGTGCTAACTAAGAAGGGCTGCTCTTATGGATAAAAATCTTTCTACGAAGGTACTATTTCAAAGTATTATATTTTACACGAAAGTCATTCTCTACAACTGAGGTACGTTATCATATGGGTGATAATGATAAAGGTAAAAGTAACGGGTAAAATCTTGATGATGTAGAAGTTCTGCAGGTTTTCCAGATCTTTACACTATAAACTGTCTTATAGCTCGTGTAAAAGGGCAAGTGTTCCATTTTTTTTCTTCCAATTTCACATTTCTACGTATTACGGGCGTTATCGATGAGTATGCAAATCAATTAGTTAAGAATTCGTTAACTGGTTATTTGTACAATCACATTGTTACATGTTAAAGTTCAAAGTTCATCAATGTTCAGAGTTCACGCAGTTAGATTGCGAATTCAAACTCCTTTTTCTAGTTCACGAATGATGTCTGCCATGCTGGGTCTTGCTGTAGGATCTGGATGCAAACATCCTCTGATAAGAGCTCGAATAACGCGGTTTGTAACCATGAAAACTTGTTGCGTTCGCCGTTCAGGGTCTGGCAGTTTTCCAATGCAGATCTCACAGAGAAGAACCCCAAAACTATATACATCCACCTGAGCAATGAAAAATAAACGATAAGAATAGAAACGTACTCTGTTTGTAGGCAACGATTGGCTCCATTAGATATATATATTTTTGATCTCCTTCTTAGACATTTTTTACTTCCTCCTACCGCCTTCCTAGCTACCACCAGCTATTTCCTCACAAACGATCAACCGATTTGTTTCTGATCCCTGCAAAAAGCAGAGCAGGCTTCGCCACAAGCTCGCTGTACATGAGACCATTGACAGAGGACTCGACTAGTCATCCGTCCTTGGATACATTTTCAGTTTCTTTCAGACAACAGACATTAGTTTTTGGACGCCCGTGGCGAGCGTTAACATCTTAGCACGAGTATCCGAGAATGCAAAAAACAAGTGCAGGCCTGAAAAATGATAATCAAACTCAAATCAGACATACCTTTACAGTCTGATTCCCTGTAAGTGCCTCAGGTGCACTGTATATCTTAGCACCAGGAAAGGGTGTCATGGTTTGCTGCACAAACTTAGCTGTGCCATAATCTGACACTTTGCCTCGCCATTGGTCACCATGTCGCCATAGCAACACATTGCCACTGCTTACGTCGCGGTGAATGATGGGTGATGGTTTCCTTTGATGAAGGTAGTTTAAAGCTCGAGCCACGTC